GTCTCTTTACTTTATCCTACTTGTAATTCATTGAGCTTCTTGAATTTGTAGATTCATGTCTTTCATGAAATTTGGGAAGTTTTCACCCATTATTTCTTCAAAGAAGTTCTTGCCCCTTTCTCTCTTCTTCTAGGACTCCCACAAAGCATATGTTTATCCACTTGATGATATCTTACAGGTCCCTTAAACTCTGCTCACTTTTCCTTAATCTTTTTTCTTTCTGTTTCTTAAACTAAAAAGTTTCAATTGTCCTATCTTCTAGTTCCACCGATTCTTTCTTTTGCCTGCTCAAATCTGTTTTCAAACTCCTCTAGTGAATTTTTCATGTCAGTTGTTATACTTTTCAGCTCCAGAATTTATTTTTGGTTCCTTTTTATACATCTCATATCTTTCTTGATATTTTCATTTTGTTCATACATCATTTTCCTGTCTTTGTCTGTGTCTTCCTTTAGTTCTTGAGCATCTTTAAGATGGTTATTTTATAATCTTTGTCTGGTAAGTCTGCCTTCTGGGCTTCCTCAGGGATATTTTTTGTTCATTTACTTTCTTCCTTTTAATGGGCTATACTTTCGTGTTTCTTTGTGTGCCTTCTGATTTTTGTTACTGTTGAAAACTGACTTATGTAATGTGATAACTATAGAAATCAAATTTTCTCCCTGTCCAGGGTCTGTTTGCTGTTTTTCCTTTTTTGATTTGTAGGATGTCTCTTTCCCAAGGATCAGCCTGCAGTGAAAGCTTAAAGGCTTCCCTGGTCTTTTTTAGCCTGTGTCTTTCCCTGGGCATATGAGATGACCCTTCTAAATTTCCATGTGTATACAGTTGCTTTTGAATATTCAAGTCTTTAAATTCCTGGCTCCCAAAAGAGGGAAAAGCATTTAAAAAGAAAGAAAAAAACAGGTGCCCTCCCTTTAAATTCCCTGAAAGCCACTTTAGCCAGTGGGAGTTGCAACAATGGCTGCCCATCTCTCTATGCACCTCTTCATTAGAAGCAGCAATCAGCAATCAGAATACAAAACACAATATTTGGAGGTTAAGGTTCTTATTTCCCACCCTGGTTCCTGCACGCTGCTCCAGAAATGTGGGCTGCTGTACCCACAGCTGCCTGCCATGCAACTGGGGAATGAGGGATGGGTAGCACTACAGTGCTAATGGCTGAAATCCACAGAAATTGATTACAGTATACAACCCAAGCCTCCCCCTTGAAGCTGCAAGCATTCATATAGACCTCAGAGTTCCAAAATAGTAACTGCAGATAGTTTCTGCTGGTACAATTGTTGTCCTCACAGAGAGATGGATTCCTGGTGCTTCCTACTCTGCCATCTGCTTTCTGGTGTACCTGTATTTTTAGCTTCAGTTTTTAATATAACAACAAAAGTGATCTTTTGAGATGTAAGTCAGATCATTATTGCTCTTCTCAAAACCCTTCACTGATTTTTCATCTCACTTAAACCTAAAGCCGAAGTCTTTACCAAGGGCTACAGAGCCCTATATAATTTGGTGCCCTGACACACTGGCCTTCTTACGATTTTTCAAATACTTCAAATACTTCCCTGCCAGGAACAGTCTTATCTCAGATGTCTGAATGTCATTTCCCCTCACTACAATTAGATCTCTTCTCACACGTCACCTTCTCAAGGAGGTCTTCCCTGACCTCCATCACTACCACTGCTACTTTGCTTCCTTCTTCTCCACAGCACTCAGTCTTATCTAACATACTGTAGATTTGTTTATTTGTTTATAGTTTATCTCTGCTGGATAATGTGACCCTGTGAAGGCGGGACTTTTTCTGTTGTGTTTGTTGCTGTGTGTGCCTGGTTTATAGTGAGTGTACATTAAATGTCTGTTGAATGAATGAAGGAACAAATGAGTGAATACCCCAAGTCTAAAGGGGTGTGTGTGTGCCAATTTTAGAGTCCAGGAGATCTGCAATATGGGGAATGGTTTCTAAGATAGAAATCATCCAGGTTCAACACCCAGTAATTTAACTTCATCAGAATGGACCATATGCTGAGTTCCATGTGGCTTGGATGGAAAGAACAAAGAGTGTGTTCTTTACAAAATGGTTCTTTACTTGTACAAAATAATTGTGCTTCTTGATGTAGTCTGATGTCTGCCCTGGGTTCTTTGGGCCTGCCTGGAAAGGTAAATTCTAGCGGTTACAACGAGGTGGAGTTCTTCAAGCATGTATATCTTTATTACATCTCTATAATCATAGGTAGAGGATTTGTGCTTCTTGATGTAGTCTGATGTCTGCCCTGGGTTCTTTGGGCCTGCCTGGAAAGGTAAATTCTAGCGGTTACAATGAGGTGGAGTTCTTCAAGCATGTATATCTTTATTACATCTCTATAATCATAGGTAGAGGATTATTTCTTCAATACATATGTATCGAGTGTGTGCTATGTATAAGGCACTGAGCTGTTTCTGGAAAATCAGAGATGCTAAGTAAGTTACACTTCTGGTACTTAATGAGCTTATTGACTAAGAAGTCACCAATTATGGTGCAGTATCAAGTGTATTAGAGATATATTTATGCAGATAGATACGAGAGCACAGTGGAGGGCATTGACTTCATTCAGCAGGAAATGTTGATGTATTGGGAAGGCAAAGGTCCAAGAAAAGTTTCTGAAATGAATGAGTATTGCAGAAAGGATTGGAAAGGTGGGTGGTGATGAAAGGCAGGCTGTCTGGGCTATGATGAGGCATTCCAAGTAAAAAGAAACAATATATGCAAAAGTCCAGAGCCACATTTAAGAAATGTCTGGTAATTCAAACTACAAAGTAAGAAATATGGGTTGAGATAAAATTAGAAAAGTAAACTGGAGTCACAATTGGCATGCTAGGGTGCGGGGCCATTTTACTGAAGACTTTGAGGACCATGTGAGTGTTTTAAGAGAAAATTAACATCGAAAAAATAATAATTTCCACTTATTGAACACTTATTATGACATTTAGGCATTTTTTCAAACATATAACATACATTATCTTATTTAATCCTCACAATGAACCTATAAGGTAGGTATGTTTCCACATTTTATGGCCAGAGAAGTAGACATAGAGGAATTAAGTACATGGCCTGAGATCATCCAGCTAAGTGGGAGAAGGAAGATTTGTGCCAAGGACTGACCAACTTCAAAGAAGGTACATTTAGCCACCGTCCACCAGATCCCAGTGACTTGGCCAAGTTCAGACATGACATATAGGTGGTCTCAGAGGTCATGGCTGTTGAGGGCATTAGCAGGGAAGAAGCCTGATATGGCATTTCTTAGACTCATTAATCAAAGTGTGGTCCAGGGCCAGCAGCAGCAGCAGTAGCAGCACATTAGCAATGCCGACTCCCAGGCCTCACCCCAGGCCTACCGAGTCAGCAGTTCAGCAAGATCCCCAGGAGACTGGTGTGCACGTGCAAGCTTGAGGAGCAGTGGTTTGGATACACAATGGCATCTGCCAGAGACAAGCGAGGCCAGGGAGACAGCATGGTGCTGTGACTGGGCAAAAGGTGTCCTCGCTCTCTATTCCTGACTGGAGTTGTGGGAGTGGAGTGCGTGTTATGGGAGATGCTTAGAAAGGCAGAGCCCCTTTTATGCTGTCTTCTACAAAAGTTTTACTTTTCTTAAAAGTGCCCCCGAACAATCCCTTTAGTTAAAATTCCTTTATTGTTGAAATAGAACTGATATATGTGAATTGTTTATCAGACTATAGGATTCAAGATAAAATCAATAGAAATGCCTCATTCAGTCCTCAGCTATTTAAGGGCAGATCATACCTAACTTCAAACTTTTAAAATTTGCACTTCAGTGATGCCATTCATGCTTGTTGCTACCCTGTAAACACATTTTCTTATTGATTCAATAGCCATGTCTTTGTGCAGACAGTGATAATTATAAATGGAGGTTGGTATCAAAGTTAAACATTTGTTTCTTGTATCTACATCTCTCTCTCCCTCCCTCTCTATGTTTTTCTTATTCACTTTTTAATAGGTGGCTTGTGACAAAGTTATTATTTATGAGGCAAAGTGTGCAGTTTTGTGATCTTTCTCCTTCTGTGATCTGTTTGGAGACAACATTCTGGAGCCCAAGCTTGAATCCGCTCCTTCTTCCCCAGAGGACCCTTTACCTTGTTTTTGTCATTCAGAGCTGAGGCAGAAAACCCAGCAGGAAACCCGATTAGATGAGTCATCTTCAAATCAGATTAGACTGCAGGGAGTCTAGAGGGCTTAGGTGCCATCTGGGGACTTCATGTGTGACAAAGTCCTGCAACATGTTAAAATCCTACCATGAACAAAACAGTGGAAGACTGCTGGGTATGCAGAAGCATAAAATTACTTTACTTCATCACACGGTGCCCTGCTTATTTGTCTTATGCTGAGTAGCCAGATTGTTTACACTCAGCCATTTTCTAAAATAGTGGAAGACTGCTGGGTATGCAGAAGCATAAAATTACTTTACTTCATCGCACGGTGCCCTGCTTATTTGTCTTATGCTGAGTAGCCAGATTGTTTACACTCAGCCATTTTCATCAGAATTCCATTGGAGTGGTAATAAGCAGGCATGCCCAAATAATCATATAAAAGGCCTAGCATCAGAATTCCATTGGAGTGGTAATAAGCAGGCATGCCCAAATAATCATATAAAAGGCCTAGGTCCTATTCTTTTTCAGTGACTACCATGAACAAATACTGACTCAGAATCACTTATCAAAAAATGGTAAAATGTCAAATGACTTCATTTTTAGCAGCATGATAACTTTTCTCTTTAACATAAGTGAATGAGGATTTAAGGGAGTCTGGGAGAAAAATGCATGGGAATTGGTGAAATGTTTTCTCTGGAGAATGACACTAGGCAAGGAGGATAAAGCAAGGGACACTCATTAGGAAGATTTCAAAACTGTAGAGTGTGCTCGGAACTGGTTTGCTTATGGCTTTGGTCCCCTTAAGGTGAGTTCTGTCTGGTGATTAGCATTACCTTGGATTAAATTAATTGGCTGTACTCAATCCCTGGGTGGACATGCTAAGAATAAATCTAAAGACATTAGTTTCTTTGCACGAAATGAGCAGGTTACATGCTCATTTATGTGAACTATTCACACAGCTTAAACATCTTTTTCTTTTCTTTATAAGGGAAGTTTCAAGTTCTGGTAAGTACAAAACTATTTGAAATCTTTCTTTTGAAAATAATTTTGTATATTGCTAGTTGTATTTTGTTTTCCATTTTATATCTAGAGTATATATCTGTGTTCTATCTTTAATTATTAGAACAAAATAAATGTTACTAATAATTATTGTCTTTTACCCAAATATGCCAGCAACCTTCACAATATGCTGGTATTGAAGTAGGAGGAAACTTCAATATCAGGAAATCAAGCGATTTTAATTTGTTCAAGTATAAGTATTTTTTTTTCTGATTATAAAAGTAGTATATACCCATTATAGAAACCTGTGCAATACATTAAAGGAGGAGGAAGCCGCTTGTAATCCAACAATGCTGTGACTGCCACAGTGAATAATTGGTGTATTTCCTTTCTGAATCCCCCTTCCAACTCCACCTTATAGAGTTAAGAATATCTGAAATGAATGAATTTTTTTTGCAACATCAATCTCTAAATTGCCATAAAAATGAAAGTTCTGTGTTTATTAATTTTCTACTTTTTAAATTTCATTATTTGTTAATTGCCTGAATTCCTACTATGTGGTAGAAAATCAAATTTAAAATATAATTAGTGAAATGATGATTAGTGTAACATCATATAAATCTATCATGTTTTGTGAAGAGAGTGGGGGAGCAGGTACAGCCCTCTTGGTAGACACAGCACAGACTGAAATGCACTGCTGACTGAGACCCATGACTGCATGAATAAGCGTCACCATGGTTGAGCCCAGCAAACTGAAGGATGTTAAAAAAATCTGCTTTATCTTAAAAAGCAACGAAAGTATTCATGACAGCTCCGTGGTCTAATTTCAGGCAATGAAGAGGCTCTGCAGAGAAGAGGGGAAGATACTGGTAGCAAGCTGTCAGTAGAAGTTGGGCTGGAGGCAAGGAGATTTTGTTAAGCAGCTTCCTTGCTTCCTCTTGGGAAGTGAGTGGTGAGGGGAGTGGAGGGCCTTACAGCTTCCCCTTGTTACCTCTTTTCACCTCCTCTGCTCCTTCAGCCTGAACTTTTGGAGAAGAATTAAGCCATTTTAGGCTGCTTAGTTTGTTCGTTCCCTGAGTAAACCCTATGTAGCTACTGCCTTATCCCAACTTTAGAGGGCATAGAATAAACCTTACTAAAAATGAATGTGAAGAAACATTGCTTAATTCCCTCCAAATTGATTAGCTTTTAAAACTGATAAAGGGCCACAGTTAACACAGGATAACTGAAATAGAGCTCCCTATACCCTCATAACATACACTATCTGCTTCTGTAGAATTGCTTGCTTAACCTAAGTAACTCCATTTTACCCCTGTCTGACCTGCAGACTACCCCCCCCCCCCTTTCTGCATGAGAATCTGTTGACCTTCTCATAGAAACAAAAGCCGTTGCATAGAAACAGGAGCCAGACACATTATGGGAACAGGAGCCATACACAGTGAACTATTACATGGAAACAGGAACCATACACAGTGAACTATTACATGGGAACATACACAATGAGAACTTGTATGCTTGATTGCTCTAACGGCTCATTCTTGGTCTCTGTAACCTAGCTCCCTAGCTTGCTTTGTGCACCTGGACAAACCCGTGTAGGGATTTAGTTTTTGCCTTTAAAAACCCCACAAAACCAAGGCCCGAGGACGCTCTTCCTTGGTTGCTCCTTGGGAGACGGTCGCTGGCCAGCTGGAGTGAATAAACTGCCCTTTTCTGCACGAGTGGCGTGTACGTGCATTTCTTGTGGGAGGGGGCCTCACAACATAACTTAAAGTTGTGGAGGGCTGATAGCTCTGTTTCACAAAAGAGGACACTCTACTGTCAAGACTTCATGACCCCTATGCTGGTCTTGCTATGTGCACGGGCTAGATGCTGCACTATCTCTGCCTTCCTCCTGGAGGGCATCTCCACCTCTCTTTGCCTCTGGCAACTCAGCTTTACACAGGCTTTCCTCAAATCACTGTCTCTTCCCACCCGTCCCTCCAGTCCCTCAGGCTGGATTAGACATCCTTCCTTGATATTCTCTTGGTACCCCAACTCTTCCTCAACTATGCTATTGAATTACTCTGTGATTTTCCCATGTACTCTGTAGGAAATGCACATATGTCAGGTCAAACCTGATTCACTTCTTTCGGAAGGAATTTGGTTTGCACCCTCTTCCCTAATGATGACATCATGCACTGAATGAACATAGATCCTTTTATTCAATGATAATACTGAATCTTCATCATGTTCTGTTCTACACACAAGGCCCACCTTACCGTGGGTTCTTAAGTCTTACCCACAAGTATGCAGAATCTTAACACTCTCTCTAAAACTTCCTTAGTGACTTCTAGGAGTTCCCAGAGCTCTCTTGCAAGCAAGGAGGATCATGTGAACTCATATTTTTGTTTTGTTTTTGCTACAGTTTCCTCATTAAGGTGCCTGGCAACCATCCTGCTGCAGGTACTTTCTCTGCAGATGCTCCTCCACTACTGGATGTCTGGTATCTTCCCAGAGAACAGTACCTTCAGCTTCTGCCCTTCGTGCATTGGGCTCAAAACCTGTGCTCAGGGCTGGGCAGTGGTGGGATAGGGACAATGGGGGCCACCTCCTCCCTCCTATTTTCCATGTCTTCCATGTTCTTCCTTGTGGTTCTAGCACAAAATCTTCTTTCTCTTATTTTAGCCCCAAACAAACCCCACAAAAACCTTGGCATATGGGCTCACACAAATGTGTTTCCAAAGTTGTCACCAGGTTAACAGCTCTCTAGTAGAGATTCAGGCAGAAAACTAGTGACATTAAATGCTTCATGATACACTTACATATAAATAAATATAATTTTTCAAAATTAGGTGAAAAATGTCTTAAATACTATTCACGTAGATATTTCAAATAAACATATAACTAAACCAACCTAAAAAGTGATTGGAGACAGAGTTCTGAGGTCTTTTGTTTAAACACTGAAGGAACTCATCCTTCTTATAGTTGACGAAGTCGTGGAGATTAAGCAGCCTACCCAAGGTCATACCATGGTTTATCACATGAGAATGAGAAGAGGTTGCAGTTTTGCTGACTGTAGCAAAGCTGGATTCTCCAATGTGCATGCCTGCTACAGATGCCTTTAATGTCTTAAGTATTGTAATTACTTTAAACCTCCGGGGAGGAAGGGAGACATTTAATTTCTAGGCTGATCTTCGAATGCTTTTTCGTAAGTTACCTATAAATAAGATTTCCAAAGCACATTGGAGATATGTGAAGCATCTGAGATAACAGCTTGCAGACACTTAAGTAAATGATTTGGGCCACATTTATGGCTGATTTATAATGACAAACACGCCTTTTTCCATCTCTATAATACCAATTACATCTATTTCGTTTGTTTGTCTTCAAGGCTGAAAGGCGTTCTTATTCTGTCAAAAGACATTAATAATTAAATTGATTTAAACAATAGAAAACAGCCACAAGATGTTACAAATAAAAAGCCCAGAACCAGATAAATCCTTCCACAAGCTGCTCATTTTATCAGACTCTGGCTTCATTGAGATGTGAAAAAGGAGAACCTCAGTGGTTTGCTGAAAAAAGCTCTTGAAATTCCTCCTGAAGTTTTCATTTTAGAACCACTAGTGGGAGCAGTAACCAGACTGCACCATTTTTAGCAGCCCATAGCAATGCTGTCATTCATTCAAAAAACATTTATTTAGTGCAATGTTTCCCAAAGTAGGCTAAGTGGTGTGTCAGATGATTTTCCTTCATTTTCTTCAATCTGCACTGGAAAACACCTGACACTATCTTAATATGGCCCTTATTTAAGGATCTACGTGATACATCCCTCCTGGAACTAATACCAGGTACATTTTCCTCCAGATGAACTAATTTGGTTTCATTCAACAGATAATTTGAACTTTAAAAACTTTCCTTTCTCCACCTCTTTTCCTTTACTGTGGGCCATAAGGACTAAATTGATGAATTGCAAAACTCTCTTTTTTTCATTGGATGGTTCCTGATTGGTGTCTCTTATGTTATTTTTTAATTGTGCAATAATACCTGTTAATCTTAAAAATTCGCTCAGTCTAGCAATGTGTAAAAAACACAAATATTACCCATAGCTCTGCCATCCAGATAATCACCATCAACACCAGGCTGAATATATTTCTGGACTTTTCCCCATTTGTATAATAAATACATATACATATAAATCAATGACATAGCATATGTGTTTTACAAACTGCTTTTTCAGTTTTTGCATCATGATCATCTTTTTATTCCAAAACATACAGATCTATAAAGCCATGCTTAATGGTTGCATGGTTTTCCATTGCATGGGTGTATATATTGTAATTTATTTACCTCGATCTTAGTAGTGACTTTAGGTTGTTTTTAATTTTTAAATGATGTGTCCTTATTTAACTGTTTAATTTATGCCCTTTTATTGTAAGTTCCTTAAAATTATCTTTCAAAATTGGCAGGTGTAATGAGTAAATAAATGAATGAATGAACTCCTCGGAATATCCTGGCTATCTACAACTTAAATTAGCATGCGTTAGCATTATCATGTATTCTCTGTGGTGCTGTTATTCTGGAGATGAACAATTTTCTTCCCCCTCTAGGTCTCAGCCAAAATGAGTGAAACTCCTTTTACTAGTTTTTCCATGATTCATCCAACTTCTTCTGAAGGTCAAGTTCCCTCCTCTCGCCACTTGAGCCTCTCTCATCCTGTGGTGGCCAAACGGATCAGCTTCTACAAGAGCGGAGACCCCCAGTTCGGCGGGGTCAAGGTGGTGGTCAACCCTCGTTCCTTTAAGACCTTTGATGCTTTGCTGGATAACCTGACCAGAAAGGTGCCCCTGCCTTTCGGGGTGAGGAACATCAGCACCCCTCGGGGAAGGCACAGCATCACGAGCTTGGAGGAGCTGGAGGACGGTGAGTCGTACTTGTGCTCCCACGGCAGGAAAGTGCAGCCTGTCGACCTGGACAAGGCCCGAAAGCGCCCTCGGCCCTGGCTCAGCAGCCGGACCGTCAGTGCGCAGGCGCAACGCCGTCCCCCAGCCGTCGCCGCCGCCGCCGCCGCCGCTCCCGGCTTGTCCCGCGCCCCGCGGAGGCTCGTGGTCTTCAAGAACGGCGACCCGAAAACGAGGCGCGTGGTCCTTCTCAGCAGGAAGGTCACCCAGAACTTCGAGGTCTTCCTGCAGCACCTGACGAAGGTCATGCAGTACTCAGTGGCCAAGCTGTACGCCACGGACGGAAGGAAGGTTAGCGTTCAGGGGGCTCCTCACGCCCCAGCTCGCTTTGGGCACCCGCTGGGTTCGTGCGGGACGTGAATGGCGGTCCCCAGGAGGGAGGCCTCGCTGCTCCCAGCGCGCGTGCGTGTGCTGTGAGCCCACCGACGTTGTCTTTGTTCCGTTGACAGGATCTGAGGGGGCATCGGGCAGGAGTGTCTCTTCTTTCTACGTTTCCCCGCCCCTTGTCTTCCCTGGGCACCGAGTAATATGCTGTTTTGGTACAGAAGCCAGTCTCGAAAGTTTTATTTCTTGAAAAGAAGAGGCCAAGAGCAGTATTCTCCTACATAGAGAAAGCATTTCCCTAGGATCCCTGGTGGGGGCTTTGCAGCTCATAGCGTGCTCACAGGAGCTCATTTTTCTAGTCCTGCCGCGTCCACCAGGCCCTTTGCTAGCTGGCTCAGGGTAGGCGTTTGGATGCAGCTGCAGGCTTTGGTGGGAATACCACAGACCTTTTAAAGATTTCTTTAGTTATGTCGTAAGACCAGCCTGTCTGTCTTTAGCTAGAACGTAGGTTCAATAAGGTTATTGGGTACAACCCCCCACTCCCGCGTTTGGTATTTCCAGTTAATTTGTATACGTTATTGGTGGCTAAGAAAATGCTTGATAGTGATCTCTTTCAAGCCTGGGAGGTTGTTGAATTGATTCAATCCAAGTTATAAAATTACTATATGGAAAGAACACAATTTGCTCATGTAAGGACCACAACTCTGGTTTCTTCTAGGTTCCCAGTCTCCAGGCAGTGATCCTGAGTTCTCGAGCTGTGGTGGCAGCAGGAAGGGAGCCATTTAAACCAGGAAATTACGACATCCAAAAGTACTTGCTTCCTGCCAGATTACCGGGGATCTCTCATCGTGTGTACCCCAAGGGAAATGCTAGATCAGAAAGCAGAAAGAGTAAGTCACTTATAAATATATACCTTTTATTTTAACCCTGAGATTTTTTTTTTCCTGAGCAACAACAAAAATCCATGCTTAAGTAACCAGTTTCTTTCATTGCAGAAGAGAAAATATGAGAGGACTAAAAACATTCTAAACTGAAATTGGTTATATTTATAGTTGGAAAGAGTAATAGAGATTATCTGATAATTTTGGGCTTTTCCAAATCAGTCAATGATATATCTGTTTAAATTGATGAAGTACGATTTCGTTTTTTTTTTGTTATAAAATGCCTAGTTAAAAAATTAAAATGCCAACATTTCTTGCTTTGGAGAGGAATTCTATGGGAGTGGTGTAAGTGGCATTTCTGGTAGTTGCAGAGTTTTCTCTAAATAGTACCATACAGCATTTATATCTGAGCTCAGCTGGTTAGCGGAGTGACTGTATTTTCTCAAATCTATACTATATGCTCTACCTTCTGACGTTATTCCTGTAAAAATCAGAGGTCTTTAGATCCACTTTTTACTTCTCAAAGGCTCATGAATACACTTCATGATGGTTAACAATAACCTAGGTTGATAATTCCTTAGGATCTGCTGCTCAGTGTGACATTATCCTTGGTTAGGGGATGAAGAGGACCTCTTGAAGCCCAAGGGCATGGGATAGGCTGTATTTCCCTACGCAGGCATGGCTAATCTCATTCATTATGTTCAATATTTCCAGAGAAAGTTTAGCTCTGTGGTAAAGTACTGATTGCCATTTATACTTAAATTTTAATTTTCATTCTCTTTAAACATGGAATAACATGCATTCTAAATAGTCTTAATCCCCTACTTATTGCTAATGTGGGTGAAACTCATCTGTTATTGTTGCCATTTAATTGTTTCATGGATATACTCAATAGATAATTATGAATGATCCAATTTTGTAGGTATTAGGCTGCCAAATATATGTTATGCCTGTGGCAGTACTTTTGTGTGTGCTTTGATTTTTGATGATTTCAGAGAATCTGAGGGCTTTGTTAAGTTTTGCTTCAAAAAATTAAGTGTGAGATATTTTCATTTACAATTTTGGTAAAAGTATATCAAAAATAAGAAAAAGTATTTCTAGGTTTATTCTCTGAAATGTTAAAGTTGTTTACTTGATGGCAAGCATGTGCAAATCTATACAGACTACTAATAGGAATTTAATAAGCAGGAGTGCCAATGCTAATGCTAAAGATGCATGTTAAAAAGATAACTAATATTCAGATTTATTTATAGGTTTGTTATCTTTTGCGCCCTATATTAAATCAACTGAACTGATTATACAAAGTGAATGCTAAATTAATAATTGTTATTTAATTAATACAGTCTTAAATAAATTCTAAAAGTGTTTTTGCTTTCATAAAGCTATAGATGTCTCTCTTGGATATACACAGATAGGAAAATGGGTAATGAATACCACCATAAATTGTTACTTACGTTGTTTGAATAGGTAAGCAGTACTTGGTTAGACTCTATTTCAGTACTGGTAAACAAAGTAAAACAAAACATAAAAAACCTTCATTTTTGCTAGAATCCATAACAATTTCTCCTTTATACATTTGCTATTAAAATTACTTTATTAAACTTGTCGAAATTAAAATTCTGTGAATCTCCTCATTGAAGTAGAATTATAGGCCTCTTTTTAAGAGTGGTTTGAAAAAATGTATCAGATATTATAGTAAGTTTTCTCAAATAACCATTGATTACATAGAGCTCAGAAACATCAATATCATTTTACCATGAAATACAGAAAATATGTTATTTTTTATACTAATTCTTTTCCTTTTTTTCTTCTTTCTTTGCTGCCTCTTCCACTGGATATTTGTAACCTCTCCACCTTCTACATTGTATTTTGATGTGGGCATCTTTTACTTTCAAAATCTTGAAAGTGAGCACACATATGCCTTCAAGCCCAAGGTCTCAGATTTATTCTGTTTCTTCTGACAAAACACATAATGATTTCTATTCAGACTATTCTTTTGTTCCTGAAAATTACTTGGCCTTAGAAAAAAGTGATTCTCAGAATTTATCAATATATCCTTGTGAAGATGATGTTGAGAAATCGATTATTTTCAATCAAGATGGCACTATGACAGTTGAGATGAAAGTTCGATTCAAGATAAAAGAGGAGGAAACAATAAAATGGACAACAACTGTTAATAGAGCTGGTCTTTCTAATAATGATGAAAAGAGTGGGATAAGCATTTTTCCAGGAAGAACAGAGGACCGATCATCTGGTTTAAAGCTTGCAGCATGTTCATTGTCTGAGGATGTCTCACCTCTGGAGAAAGGCAGTGATCAAGAGGGCCATCTGGCAGAGGAGCCAAACACTCAAATGACAGATCGAGAGGCTGAAACTGGCAGTTCTGCTAGTTGGGAGAATGCTGTTGTGGACACAGATATTGTCCAGGGAACTGAAGATGGAGTGAAGCATCGTTTTTATAGGCCTCCTACACCTGGACCAAGGAGAGTGAGAAAAAAGAAATCTATGATAGGAAGTGTGACCTTAGTATCTGGAACTGAGGTTCAAGAGAAAATGATTGGACAGTTTGCCTATAGTGAAGAAAGGGAAGGTGGGAAAAACAAATCTGAGTATCACATGTTCAGACATTCTTGCAGTAAAATGTCATCAGTATCTAACAAGCCAGTACTTGTTCAGATCAATAACAGTGAGCAGATGGAGTCATCTTTAGAAAGAAAAAAGGAAAGCAGACTGCTCAAGTCAAGTGCAGTAAGTGCTGGTGTTATAGAAATTACAAGTCAGAAGATGTTAGAAATGTCCCATAATAATGGCTTGCCATCAACTATATCAGAGCACTCAATTGTGGAGGAAGATATAGTTGATAGTGTAATATCAGACAACAAAACCGGTACCAAAAATGTCAAAACTTATGATGACATCAATGATAGGTTCAGTCCTATTTCAGCAGATGCAACTCACTCTTCAGGTGACAACTCTGGAACTGACAAAAGTATTTCTGAGGCACCAGCTTCTGTAGGATCCTCTATTGTCACTACAAGAATTGACAGACTTATTAATGAATTTGCTCAGTGTGGTTTAACAGAACTTCCAGAAAACAAAAAGAAGATTTTTTCCTCTGTTGCCAGCAAAAAGAAGAAGAAGTTTCACCAGCAAGTGATAAATTTGAAGTATCAGGATGGGGATATTGCAACCAAAGGAATCCCCAGTAAGAGTGAGAGAATAAGCACAGGAAGTAGAATTGCCCAGGAAACCATATTGCAAGATTCACACAGTCCCCTTAAAGGAGTGATGTTTTGTGAGGAAGACCTCCATGCAAGTGATATGGTAACAGAATCAAATCATGTATGTTCCAAAAGTAATTTCAATCCCACAGTTTCTAAGAATTTCCATAGAAATAAATTAAATACTATTCAAAACCCTAAGGCTCACGGACTTTTAGCCAAAAGAAAATCCAGACCACTAAAGAAAGTAAGCTTAGGAGGACCTAAAAAAAGAGAAATTGGCCAAGGAGATAAAGTGTTTCTCCACAATGAATCTAAATATTGCAAAAGTACTTTTGAAAATCAAAGTTTATTTCGTGTGTTTAATGTCCTTGAGCAAAACCCCAAAGCTTTTTGTAGACCACAGTCTGAAGCAGAAATGGCATCTGGGTATTTGAGAGGAATGGCAAAGAAGAGTTTAGTTTCAAAAGTTAATGATTCGCACATAACTTTAAAAAGCCAGAAAAAACAAAAAGGAGATAAATTGAAATCAGGGGCTCTTGTAAGTAAGCAATATGCTACATCCAGCGCAAGTTCCTTAGCTTCTATGAAAAAAGCTGATTTTCCTGAGGATATGGCCCATCATTCAATTCAAAATTATATACAGAGATGGTTACAGAACGTAAGTCCATATCCAACTTTAAAACCTAGAAAATCAGCTCCAATATGCAAAAATGAAAGGAATGTGGTGAGTTGTAACAATAGTGGTTTTCCAGGAAATAAAGTCCATAGAAGTTCTGGAAAAAGAAATAATTTTGTTATGGACAGTAATAAGCACATAACTGAAAATGCCAGTTTGACAGGAGATAATCTGTGTAAAGAGGTAGGTCAATCTCTTATTGCCAAAGGTAATTGTGAAGAACTTAACAAAAACCTCTGTGAGAGCCAGGTTGGATCTCTGAATGATGCTTACTTGATTTCTCTGCATGAATATTGTAATTTGTCACAGTCAGCTACTAATGTTTATAATTCTCAAAGTCACTTATCTGCTGAAAAGTCAGGACCAGAGGTAAGCCTTGTTTACCAAGAAATAAACCTAGCTACAAAAGGGGAAAGTGTAGAGGCTGCCATTCAAGTAGATCTTATGGAAGAGGACACTCCAAAAGACCACTTACCACTCCTGTTCCTTCGCCAGTTACAAGCTTCAGCTGCTGGTATTCACAAGACTCAAAATGGAGTTATTCAAATGTCAGGTTCACTTGCAGATGTTTCCTTCCCTTCTGCAATATATAATTCATCCACCAATCTCCTTCTAGCTTGGCTCCTGGTGCTAAACCTAAAGGGAAGTATGAATAGCTTCTGTCAAGGTGATGCTTATAAGACCACCAATAGATCTTCAGAAACACTTGCATTGTTGGAGGTTCTAAAGCACATTGCCATCACAGAGGAAGCTGATGACCTGAAAGCTGCTGTTGCTGGTTTAGTGGAGTCAACCACAAATCGCTTTGGACTCAGTGAGAAAGAACAAGATATGATTCCAATAGGTCTTTCTGAAAATTGTTCCACAGCTGACATCCAGAGAGCTCCTCAGTGCAATGAAAGTGAAAGAACTCAGAAAATCTGTTTGGATAGATGCTACTCTTCCAGTGAGGTCTGTGCCCCTGAAGTCTGTGTTTCAGAGGTGACTTCCTCTTCATGGGAGATGTGCACTATGAATAAGACTTATCCTCCAAACGAGGCTTGTAATACAGGTGATGCTTTTTTTCCCAGTAGTGGTTGTTCCATGAATCAGACCTCCACGAATAAGGTTTGTTTCCCAGGAGAGATTTGTTTACTTACTGATGCCATGTCTTCCCATCAGGCTTCTACTCAAAATGAGAACCATATCTATGAGGAAGCTTGCCCAATTGATGAGACCTACATTCCTACGAAAGTCTGCAATACCATTGATTTTTTAAATTCTGAAGAAAACACATGTACTGATGAGTTGGAATTAACTGAAGAGTTAGAAAGAGTTGATAAAGTTCAGAAAGACCTAAATATTTTGACTGACCCTGGGCATAAAAATGGCTTAGATACCTTGGTGTCACATCAAAATGTCAGTAATTTAAACCCCTGTGGTCTTTTCCTAGATGAAACTGAATCAGAATTTGGTAAGAAATGTAGTTCTCTAGATGAATTTAAAAATTGTTCACTAAAGAAATTTCAGGATAAAAACACATACACATCCTTTGATAAGGATGAATCAAGGACTTCTGAAGAACCAGGCTCATTAACCAACAGTATGACATCAAGTGAAAGAAATAACATTTCAGAATTGGAATCTTTTGAAGAATTAGAAAACCAGGACACTGATATGTTTGATACAAAGGTAAATGCAGGAGAGCAAGCCACTGAAGAATCAGTCCAAAAAGAGTTAGAGGCTAGTAAAAATTTGGAATTGATAGATGACTCTGGTAGGAACATTATAAAAGAAGAAAGAAGCAATGGTGTAATTTGTGAGACAGTCAGTAGAAGGCTGGCAACACCACCATCTTTAGTTTTTTGCTATGATTCTAAGCAAAATACTGAAAGGGAGATTAATGAAGGAGAAACTAAGACAAGACTAAATACGATGGTGAAAAGCATGGAAATTGGAAGTTATTCGGAGCCCTCTCTTGATTTTAAAAAATGTTTCAAAAGTCCAGTGACTTCTGATTGGTCAGACTATAGACCAGACAGTGAGAGCGAGCAGCTATATAAAACATCCAGTGATGGCACCAATGACAGTGGTGAGATTGCGCTAGAGAAAGAATACAATAGAGGATTTGTTAAAAGGGCAATAGAAAAACTTTATGCTAAAACAGAGATTGCTAAACCATCTTTTTTCCCTGGGTCTGCACACAGATCTCAGGTTTGTCCTTACAAGTCTATGGAATTTCAGTGTGCTAGGAAAGCAGGTCTTTATGGTTCTGAAGGTCATTCATTTGACTCTTCTGAACAGGTATCTAGTAGTTCACCTGTGTTGCAGGAATTCCAGGAGGAAAGACAAGAGAAATGTGATGTTAATGGTGTGAGGGACAGTTATCATGGGGACAACATTGTAGAACAAGGTACAAAACAAAACAATCATAACAGAATTCTTAGGGACACAAAGGAGGGAGTACTGATTGACAAAGGCAAGTGGCTCCTGAAAGAAAATCATTTGCTAAGGGTTTCCTTTCCTGAAAATCCTGGCATGTGTGGCAATGCCGACACCACATCAGTGGATACTCTACTTGATAATAACAGCAATGAGGTACCGTATTCACATTTTGGAAATTTGGCCCCAGACCCGACCATGGCTGAACTATCGTCTTCGGAACTGGAGGAACTGACTCAGCCCCTTGAACTGAAATGCAATTATTTTAACATGCCTCATGGTAGTGACTCTGAGCCTTTTCGTGAGGATTTACTAGATGTTCAAAATAAAACCTGTGTCAAGGAAAGAATACTAAATCACCATACAGAGGAGAAGGGTAATTATCGGTCAGAAAGAGTTTGCACATCTGTCACTCATGCCTTTACGTCTACTGGTAACAAAGTCCACCCTGTCTCTGATGATGCTATTAAAAACCAACCATTGCCTGCCAATAATATGATTCATGGTACACTCCAGGAAGGTGACTCTTTGGATAAACTCTATGCTATTTGTGGTCAACACTGCCCAATACTAACTGTTATTATCCAGCCTGTAAATGAGGAAGACCGAGGATTTGCATATCGTAAAGATTCTGATATTGAAAATTCCTTGGGTTTCCATTTATGGATGAAAATACACCCGTATTTACTACAGTCAAGGAAAAACATGTTCAGGGATAAGAACAATAAAGCAAGTATGAAAAAAGAATTTATTGATAATGCCATTGGCAATACATTTGATAGGCTTTATATCAGTAACACATTTGACTTGAATAAAAGAAGAAAACCAAAAAGAATTAACTTCTTGGACTTAGAGGAAGAAAGTAATTTAAAGAAATGTCAATCATATTTAAAGAAAAGGGTTTGTGTGCATTTCTTGCACACATTGTTAGTTGTGGGTGGTGTGAATTCAAATACACAAGACCCCAGCAGCTTGACAAATAAAATCTTTAAAGCAGTTGATGAGAATAATAACTTATTAAATAACAGATTCCAGAGCTCAAGAACAAATCTCAACCAAGCAGTAAGAGAAAATATCAACTTTCATGTCTCCTGTGGTATGCTTAGTCAAGCCTGTCTATCAGATATTTGCCAAGTTGAGACATCCATAAATATTAACCACAGAAATATATTAGAAATATTTATATTTTTGATGGTGAAAATCTTTTCATTTGGGAAGAGGAAAACCAATTAAATTTAACTGATCTTGAAAGCAATAATGAACAAGATTTATAATTTCAATATCAGCACAGCCTTTCTCCGTCAATACATTTTTTTCCCCATAACAGGATGAAGAACGGGATGGATATGGACTAGGTGACCTCTAAGAATTTCCCATTTCTTTAAAATGAACTCACCCATGGATAAACCGATGACCTTCATCGTTCCTCTGTTGTCCATTTTTCCAACAGTTATAGACTCAGCTTCTATTTTGTTATTTTGGGTTTCTTTGTGGTTTTATCCTGAATTTATATGATTTCCTAATCTATGAGTGTTTCCTTAAGACATCAAAGATGTTCAAAGGACAAGAATTATATCTTTTATTTCTTTTTTTATGTTGTCAGCTTGGTGTAGAATATATATTGAATGTATTGATGAATAAATAGAATCGACATAACCGTAAAGTACTCCATTTATTAATTTTATCTACTGATTTGATAAAAGGTGTGATTGTAAGATTTCCACAATTTCATAGTTTCTTGTGCCAACTGTGTTGAATCCAGTTCCCTCAGAGCATCTGTTTAATGAAGCTGCAAGCGTTTCCATGGTCAAGATTCACTATTTTCTCATGTTTGGAAAATGTGTTCCACCACTAAGCTGCCTCTCTAGTACTTTCTTAAAAAATTTATGATCTTTTGAACATTAGTAAAATGTCTAGAAATCCAAAGAGGTCAGAAGGAAAAAAAGGGTAAAAATTAAAGCATGGTCTGTGAAGGAAAATTAGAGGAGCTGAAATGATTTAACTTGGAAAAGAAAAAAGAATGGTGACTTTACAATTCTCTTCAAATTGAAAAAGAATTGCTGTGAAGAACTTGACAGATTTTTTTACGTTCACCTACATTAATAAAACACTAGTTAGATATAAATAAAAACATTTTCGTCTAAAGGATAAATAGATTAGACTGTCACCTGTAAATTTTGAATAATTGAGGTATATTTTTTGGGTATTAACCAGGAAACCTTTTAAGATTCCTCCTACTGCATGGCTATATGATGGTATGGAAACAAGTCTTATAAAACTTGGAAATTTATGTCTCTTGTCTAGAACTGACTCAAAGTGGAGTGATTAATATTCCTGGAACCACACATGGAGGTGCTGAAATAACAAATTTGGCATTGTGGAGCTAGAGGTTATTAGTTACATAAAGAATAACTTTGGTTTCAGTTTAACATGAGTCATAAGTCTATAAAAAATTATGAATTGCCACTAACTTCACCAGCTGAAGACTACCTCTACACAGAGTATGCTGTTGGATGCCTTCTAATCAAAGTGTGGAAGTTCTAATGTTATATAAACCTCTGTAGTGAGCAATCAGAAATTGTGGTGAAATAAAAGGGCACAAATTTTGGAGAAATAATAGGAGAGAGCTAACATTAATTTTGTGCTTATTGTATACTTGGGACTTTTGGCAGACTTACAGGCTTATTATATTACTCTTTCCTTATAAAGACACTGTGAGTTTGGCTTTATTACTCCCCCTCCCCCTTTCTTTATATAGATAAGAACTTAGGAACAGACTTTTGGCAGACTTACAGGCTTATTATATTACTCTTTCCTTATAAAGACGCTGTGAGTTTGGCTTTATTACTCCCCCTCCCCCTTTCTTTATATAGATAAGAACTTAGGAACAGGGTGGTAAAGTACTTCAAGATTTGTACTTGGTCCTTTGTGCTTTAAAAATTGTCATCTTTATACCACATCTTTATTACTATTTTTATGTGAGGAAGATGGGGTAAAATGTTTTAAAAAAATTAGCACTCATTCCCTAGTGCAGAGAGAAAAGGAAATTATTTTTCTTTTTAATTCAGAAAGAGTGTGATATTTAGATATATCAAGGAAATTTAACAACCAGGAGGTTTAGACAAATATGGCATGCAACATGTGGTTTTGGCAGTACTATAACATACAATGTCCTGGGTGGCTCAGATAATGTTGGGGGGGGGAAACCAAAAAACTGGAGTGACAATCATGAATTAGTAGTGCATGTTTGTATAACACACTTATTTAAAATGAGCATGAGTTGAACATGAGCATTGAATTCTGAGATCTGGTGCCACATCTTGCCCATGTTTATATCCCCGAACTAGCTTATTACTTGGGACATGTAAGCACCTAGTAAATGTGTATTGAATTGGTAAGAAATGCTTTTGAAGGGATTTATTCTTCCTTTACCTCTTACTTCAGATCCATACATATGGAAGATATGCCAAAAGATATAAGTAAGTTTTTTGTATCTTATGAAACAATATTTTAATCATTTTTAATGTCTGTGAAGATTTTTTTTCTTTTAAACATTCAAATGATGTTTTTATTGTCACAAGACTTGCATTAGAGGAATGTAATGTGAAATTTAGAAGAATAAATGACGCTTTAGAGGAAATTGAAGAATGTTATACAAATCTAGCTTTTGCTTTAAAGATGAAATGCCTGAACAGCTGAGGAAAGGAGTCTAGCCTCTTTTACTTGGGGGAATATACCTAAGTTCAGGGTCCGAGATCTCAAAGTGGAGTGGTGAAATTATTGTTTATGCCCACCAGATGGCAGCTGTGCTACGCGCGGCCAGAAGCTAAGGCACCCTCAGAAGGAGGCTTGCATGGCTAAAGGGCCTTAAGCACTGGGACAGTCTCTGGGCTGCCTGTTTCTACTTGGAGAAAAGCTGAGAGCCCAACCGTGTAAGGCATCCCCCAAGTGTTAAACCCAGAAGATATAGCAGTGTTTAGAATTAAATTAAATATATTATTAGTAGTGAGGAGTTGAAATTCAAAAAGAGAGATACGAAGAAAGGTGCCAGCTGTCAAGAAACACGAGAGTTGATCCCAAGGAAAGCCCAATTTGGATAGGGTGGGAACCACCAAAAATCCTAACTCAAGTTGAAACTTAGGTAATGAGTCATTGACTTAGTGAGTGGGGATAAGTTTTAAATGATACTTTCAGGTATTTTACCTCAACTTTTCAGTGACACAAACATATACCCTATTTTTAAGGTTTAAACTGAAGCATTGATGCCACATTCCTACACTGTGGAACTTATTTTGTGAGTTTTCTCACCTATAAAGTGGGGCCAGCACTTTAAAGTCTTTATGAGGGAACTACCTTATAAGGCTGTTGTGAGAGGATCACTAGAAAAATGCTTGTAAAGCTAGTAGTACAGAGCTTGGCATACAGTGTTGAACGCATTTTATCAGCACCACACTCTCCTGAGTGAGCCACGGGCCAGCCCGAACGCATTTTAGCTGATTTTTTTTTTTTTAAAGACCATTAGTGTTAACGCCTTTGATATGCTTTTCAAAAGTTGGTGTTCTTCCAATCAAGAAGTGTTTAGCTCTACTGGGTGCTAAGATATATAACAGAAATATATTTTCAACATTTATTCATATGACTCTTTACAGAAGTAAAGATGACTGATATTTTGAGCCCAGTTTAGTGTCAAATATTGTACTAGATTCTTTATGTACACTGTTTCAGTTAGTCCTCACAGTAACCCCCTCAGATGGGTAATAGTATCTTCAATGTAGCAGGAAGGGGACCAAGGATCACAGAAGCCAGTAAAGAAGCACTTTTACTTTATGTCTGTATTTGATCATCGTAAATAGCCCTGAGTTTTGTGGTTTGATATTCTATATACAGATCTATCTGGAAAGCATAAAAGTGACATTTTATTCACTATTTATAGAGGCTGAGCAGGATTCTATAAATGCCCAGGGTAGCATAGAGAGTCAAAGTTATTTTAATCCAAAGAGTACTTTTCCCAGTATTTTAATCTCTTGCCTATTAAGGCATTAAAGGGTAATTCTTTTTAAAAAGCAAAATCATGAATTCCATGTAGGTATAACAAAGATTTTTACTTAACTCGTAAATTCACTTAGGGAACTATTCACATATTACAATGGGATCAAAGGAGAATTTAAATTATCACCTAAAATAGACAGATAAGGGGTGCTGAAATGAATATGGGTCTGTCTAGGAGAATAATAATTGCATTCCACTGGATACACCAATTTATATTTCTATGGACCAGAATAATTTACATTATTATCTGTTTTTTGTAACTCACAGGGTTGTAAAATAATTTAAAGATAATGGAAAGCAGAGACAACCCCTAAGAGTGTGCTTGACAAGGCAGTCAGTAGTTTTTCTTTTTTTTTTTTTTTCCATTTCAAGGTGTTTCACAATTTTTCTGTTCAAAGATTTTATTCTCTGATGACTTAAGTGCTAAGTTATTAAGGAAACATTCCCAGGTCATAGTAAACAGTGTATGGCTGAAAAAGCTTTCTACAATTAAACACCAAAACAACAAACCTTCAGACAGGGACAAATCTTAGCATGTTTGATGGTTTTGAGCAGAGCTGTTCATCCTGTTGTTCTGGACAGTAAACAGTAGGCAATACTCAGCATGGACATTAGATGCAATATAGAGCGACTGAATTTTAGTAATTGGAATTCTTCCTAAAGGATATGGACATCAGCCATTTCTCTATGCATAGATATTTCAATACATTATCAATGTTTACTTTCTGATTCATGCACAGGGATTATCATAGCAATCAATAACAGCAACAGCAAAAACAACTAAAGGCAATGGAGTAAAAATTATTTAACTGCTTTTCCTTTTGAGAAAAGTTCTTATCTTTTGTAACTGTAATGCTGATGAATAGCTGGAGTCTGCGGACTGCTACCTAAGTAAAACTGCTTAAAGCTTAGGTGAATCAAAAAAACCAAGTAAATTAAAATATGTCAGGTTTCTGGAAAAACATGACTTGCACATCATAGGAATTCATTGTGTTAGGAATGAAAGTGGTTAGTGAGAAATGGGTGACATTAAATATATTTATATTCATTTATATGAATATTCATATGTATGTGTATATGAGGGGTCTTCAAAAAGTTCATGGAAAGATTTGGATTATTTTGTAATTGTATTTTTCCACAAACTTTTTGAAGTACCTTTGTACTTATTGTCATAAATTTGTTTAATATCATTGCTGCCTCAGCATCCAATTTTAGGCCGGACATAAGTTATTTGAAACCCAGTCTTACCCCATCACCTTTGGCCTAGTTAAAAACCTTACCTCTCATGTGGTGGTTTGCCCTAGAGCCTCACTTGTTCCTCATCTCACTGACCCACGACCCAACACTCCCCCACTCCCTGCTGCCCTCCCATCCCCCAGCATGGGAGAAAGCCTAAGGGATTGTTGCTTTGTGTTGCTTCGCCCCCCATGGATTTGTCACCCCACATCCCCTGGGTGATGGAGATGCAAAGGATTATTCGAAGCCCATCTGTTCTGAGCAGTGAGAGACACCAAAGTGGTTAATCATCCCGTGACCCTCCAGCAAGAGACATCCTTTCCGCGGGAAATTAACCCCGAATTGGGGTTCTTTTCCTGCATTTATTTTCCAGACCAG